GATTTATTATTGTTGTCTGTGCCATCAAGTTGGCTTCAACTTAAGATGACCCTCCAAGAGAGTCTGGACAAGATTCTGCATCATGAAATGTAACTACAACAGTGGAGCTCTATCGCTATGTCTAGATGCCATCCCCCTCAAACCCAACCTTTTAGTCAAGCAATGCCCCAAGAAAAGGGGTACTGGAATATGATGGCTGCAGTTCTCTCCCCATTACAAGATGCATATAGAACAGGCAGAGACCCCCTGGAGTCTGACTGCAATTGCTTTTCTCAATGCACTTCATGAATGAGAGAGAGAATTCCTTTGACTGGCTGAAAAAGTAGGTTTGGGAAGATTCACATTTGCTCATTAATAACCATAAACATGAATCCCAGAAGTTACAAGATCATACGTTTGGCTTATGAACTTGTAAATACTGAACAGAGTGGTAACTTCTGTTATTAACAGCCCTGCTCAGGTCTCACAAATTATGAGCCATGGGTTCTTTTATTAAATAAACTTACAAATTGAACAATGTGGGCTTCCTCTTTCCTACTGCCTTCCACTTTCCCCAGCAGTATCATCTTTTCCAAAGCATGCCTTGTGGTGTAGTGGTTTGAGTGTCACACTATGACTCTGGAGACCACGGTTCGATTCCCCACTTGGCCCTGAAACCCACTGGGTGACCTTGGTCAAGTCACATGCTTTTAGCCTCAGGGGAAGGCAATGGCAAACCTCCTCTGAACAAATCTGCCAAGAAAACTCCATGATAGGTTTACCTTAGGGTCGCCATAAGTTGGAAGTGGCTTGAATGTACACAGCAACAGCAGCAGCAACAATCTTTTACAGTGAGTCATCCTCTTCTCGTGATATATCCCAAATACAAATACAAGAAGATATATCCCAAATACAAATACAAGAAGAGTTGCTCTCAGATCCATTTTTTTTTTTTTTTGTCTTTCTGGTGTCCAGGGTATCCACAAAACTGTTTTCCAGTACCGCATCTGCAGCAGTGGTGTCACTATGGTTGGTGTCACCCACGGCAGTAACTCATGGTATCCTGCACCATACAGAATCCTTAGTAATGGTTTTTGTACCAATATTATTCATAAATCATACTTCCTATATATCACTGAATGCAATGATAATAGTTGTGGCGTAAACAACTAGCAAAAATAAATTATATCTTTATATTACAATATCATATGCACACCCTAAATGTATTTACATGTATGTAGTTTCATGTGGTTAAAGTGAACATTTGGTAAGATCTTATGTTTTTAAAGAAAAATTTAAAATAATTGGACTACACTCTGGAGATCCGGATTCAAATCCCACTCAGCAACTGGGTTACCTTGGACAAGTCACACTCTCTCAGCCTCGAAGGAAAGCAAAGGCAAACCCCCTCTCAACAAATCTTGCCATGAAAACACCATGATATGTTTGTCTTAGGGTTGCCATAAGTCAAAAAAATGACTTGAAGACACACAACAACAATGGTCCAAGTTTTCTCTCTCTAACCCTTCTCCCCTTACTTTGCCAAAACTAACTCTGACCTTCCATTCTAAATTTGCAAATAATACCCACAATTTTTCTTCTCCTCATTGAGAAAGAGTGTTTTGAGACACTGAGACACCCCACTGAGAAAACAGTCATCCATCACACTTTGGGCCTTATTTTGCAAAATATTAATTTGCATACACAAAAAAGTCATGATGCAAACCTCTCTATCATTTTTGCACTGAAAATTGTATTTTGCATACAAATATTCTTTTGCAAAAACAAAATAACCCATAGGTTTTGTGCCGCTCCTTTTGAGAAGAAGAAGAAGAAGTCCCAATTTGCAACAAAATACCATCTTAAAAATGCACAAAAATTATTGTATCTCATCAAGGACAGAGAAAACATTTGAAATCCTTCTCCTTTTCTTGCCACACATATACTTAAAGGAGTTCTGGGGTAACATTCCAATAATTTTTCTCCTCCCTCTGATTTCCGCCAAACTCTAACCAGCCTTGCAAGCTCTCTGTCTTTCTCTCTTGTCCTCCAGCTAGTCTGTCACCATTCCAAGACCACTTTAAGGTGGTTGAGATTATGTTAGCATCTCCAAAAATAGAGGTCTCTTCAGGCATAGTTCTGAGCTCTTTCATTACAAGGCTGGCTTTGTGTAGTGGCACATCAACTTTGGCAATGCTCCTGAGCCAAGAGAAACTTTCCCAGGGACCACAGGCAGCCCCTTTCAAGCTTGACTTTTCCCCAAGAGTATTTCTCCCTTGACAACATCATTCAGTGCAAGAAGCTGTGTCTGTGTCCAGGGTCAGCTGCTTTGCAGATCCTATCCATTAGGATCCCAATTGCACCATTAATAATCCAGGCTTGCAACACCCACACCCATCTCAGACCAGATTCTCCACCCATTTGTTTCTTCCACTACTACTCAGCATGGCAAGCATATCCAAATCCTTTTGGTTCCTAACAATTACCATCCTCATAAAAAAGTCCTCAAGCTATTTTCCCACTGTTTCATACTTAAGGGCTTATTCCTCCCTCCTGCTTTTATATTTCTTTATTCTCCCCAACATGGTCTCATGAACATTAGTGAAGAAGCAAGTAAAATGAAAGAACTGGTTAGAGTCTAGCAAAGACATACTGGTTGCATATTGATTTCACTTTACTGATTTACATATGTTTCAGTGATTTATTGCATATCCATTTTACATGCCATTTCATTGTTGTAATAAAGTCTGGTTTTGTTGGCTAACCCTTCTGGAGTTTCAGTCTTTTGAGTTGAACGATCACTCATCACTGAATCACTGATTCACAGGTTGTGATCCCATATACCCAGGTTTGGGGAAAAGAAGGGCCAAACCTCAAGAAGAGGTTTGAACTTTTATTCCACATTTACCTTGCAGAAATGTGTATGTGTGTGTGTGAGAGAGAGAGAGAGAGAATATCATGAATTAGTGTAGTGGCATTGCCCCTCTAAATAAGAATTTAACCCCCCCCATAAAATTTTCCTTTCGTCCCCAGGTTTTTAGCAGTGCAGAGTGAGACCTTGAAAATTGTTTAAATCTAGAACTGTTTTATTTGTTGTATTCCACATTACCTTGATAGATTGACCTTCCCCTTTTCTTTGGATGCCTAAACTGTATTGCAAAATGCTCAACTGAAGTTTTAGATTTCTATGGTGCTTTGATGACTGAAGGAAAACTTAAGATGGAGTGAGAACTCTTATGGGGGCAATGGTGTTATCTCCTTTCCCCAGTAGCTATTAATTCGATGTCCTGTTCTCTATTGTACAAGCCTCTCTCTCTAACTCTGCAGCCTTCCCAGCTAGAGTCAAAGCCCAGGAGAGGATGGCATGAGTTAATTCCTCCCATCAGGCTTTTTCAGTTCAGCATGAGCAGGGATGCTGCACAGCGAATCATAACAGACAGGGGGAAAGACAAACACCACTCTCAGCTACCTTGCAACAAGCAGGTACGGTAAAAACAACACCAAAAGAAACTCAGAAGAAATTCTAAAGTGCCCTGAGATTGAGGCAGAAAAATAGAGGCTTCCTTTGCAGGGTAAGAATGAATATTCCAGAGAAATGGAAGGAAGACTTCAGCACAGCACTATAGCTGGTTCTATTGTTCCAGTCCTGAAGCACTTGCATGGGCACCTGGTCTATTTCTTAGGACATTAGCACACAGGGGAAATCTGTTGGTTAATCCACACAAACCCCAAACAACTGGACAAAAACTGGTATTATCCTAGATCTTTTTAATTTCGGGAGTTTAGAGGAAATGCATTTGCGAAATTACAGTTGCGAAATTACAGTTTACTGTAATGTGAAAAGCAAATGCACATGGACAATTCTCTTTTAAA